TGTCCCTATCGGCATCCAGCAGAGTCCTGGGAAAACAACCTAAAGGCATGGCCCAGGCTCGAGTATCCAGACATATACAATTACCTCATCAAGTCCCCTGGTATGAACACCATGTGTACATACCATGTGTCCTACACTTGTAGTAATATTTAAATACCCATCAAGCATCGATAACATTAACTATGTTATGACATTCAAAAGCATTCTGTTACAATGTGGCTGTAATGAGCTCAGTCTGTCAGTGGCACAGCTTGTACAGTGTAAGTGAGGGACACAGTTTTTTTCAAAAGCCAAAAAAGGCTAACTGCAGAAATTCCACTTATTCCCCATACAACTAGTGCATTTCATTGTTGCTTATCGGTGTAGAGCTGCCGACCATTATGCATAGCGATGTCATAACATAGCAACAGAAAACAGTGGCATGGCATTGGTATTATTTTGTTATTCTTTGATTTGCCCCTCAATGTGTCCATTCATTTGAGATTTACATTTCTATTTAAATTTTAAAGTAAAATGGCATACCCTCTATTCACACTTTTTATGACTGGTTATTTTTTGCAATAACCAGTCATCAGATTACATTTTATTGAATGTAGTGTCTAACGACAACAGCAAGACTTTAACATTTCTAATGAGAAATAGTTTATTAGACATTGTATAAGTAGAAATACTAAAAGACGTGAAGATTGACATGAAAACATTTGTATCATTTACTTGCAATTTGTCAGTGTTTTTGCTCTGGTCAATTGTCACTCTCCTAGATGTGATATGTAAGAAGTGTTATGTTTGTGTCCATTAAATCTACCCATTTCCAAAAGTAGTCAACAGCTGTGCTTTTGGGAATGCCTTTAATAGAAGCCAGTAAGTCAAAACTCAAATTGTGGCGTAGTTTGACGAGAGTCAGGAAGAGCTGCTCTTGCTGTGGCATACTTGCCTTGTTTTTTGACTTCACAGGCAGGCAGGTTGAAAGAAAATTGTATAATTTCTCAAAAACTGTCCAACTGATGCCGGTCATCATTCTGCACTTTTTCTTGTTTCCCTCAACTGCAGCAGCTGATAAAGTGCAGCCTTCCAGTTTTTTCTCTGCCAGCTCTGCCTTTGCCATGGCCTCATCTCTTTCTCTCCGAAGACTGTCCATTTCTCCATACAACACTTCCCTTTCCCCAGGAAACAAAGGGGTGGCAAGTCCGGATGTTTCAGGTAGTGTACACACCTGTGGTGTAATGGCAGGTGGCATGATGGTGGAGACCGAATCATCGCTGATTTTGTCAATGCCTAATTCCGTCTGCTGCAGGTCTTGCATTTCCATGCAGGGTGTTGACACTTCTTGTTGCAACTCTTCTGGGACACTTGTCTCCTCAAATTCCAGTTGCTTCTTCACCTTCCTTTCCTTTCGTGATACTAGAGTAGTGGATGGTGCTGAAAAAAATAGATAAAAGGTATATATTTTGCAAATGATCACAGAAATTTTAAGTCATGGCCTCATATTTATAATAATAATAATAATGCATCAGTTTTATGTAGTGCTTTTCTGGACACTCAAAGACGCTTAACATTGCACTATTCATTCACTCTTGGTGGTGGTAAGCAACTATTATAGCCACAGCTGCCCTGGGGTAGACTGACTGAAGCGAGGCGACCAGTCTGCGCCATCGGCCCCTCCGACGCACCACCAACCACTCACTCACTCGGCTTCCTGGTGTTACTAAACGGCAGTATATTTAGTATTGAGTTGGATTGGGACGACAAGTCATAATAGTCGACTATGACTAGAAAGCAGCGACCAGTAGACTAGTTTTTGGTTGTTTCAAAATGAGTTCAAGACCATGAGGTTTTAGATGCTCAAACAAATACAAATATTGTATTCCACAAATATGCATCTACCACATGTTCTCTTTTCCTGCAGACTTTAACATTGTCACCCTGTTGCAGCAGCTTCCTCTCCACCCTTTCCAATGACATGTGGATGTGTGTTGTTGAAGCCTCCTTTATCTCTGCTGTGCCCTTTTCACAGTTTGCACCAGTGAGAATAAGTAATATATAAATGTGTGAGTTTGTGTGTGTGAGTGTGGTGTGTGTTGTGTGTGAGAGTGTGAGTGTGTGTGTGTGTGTGTGTGTGTGGGTGTGTGTGTGTGAGTGGTGTGTGTTGTATGCTGTGAGGTGTGTGTGGTGTGAGTGTGTGTGTGTGTGAGTGTGTGAGTGTGTGTGTGTATGTCTGTGAGTGTGTGTGGGTGTGAGTGTGTGTGAGTGTGAGTGTGTTTGTGTGTGTGTGTGTGTGTGTGGGTTGTGAATGTGTGTGTGGTGTGTGTGTGTATGTTGTGAGTGTGTGTGTGTGTGTGTGTGTGTGTGTGAGTGTGTGGGTGTGAGTGTGTGTGTGTATGTCTGTGAGTGTGTGTGGGTGGTGAGTGTGTGGGTGTGTGTGTGTGTGTGAGTGTGTGAGTGTGTGTGTGTATGTCTGTGAGTGTGTGTGGGTGTGAGGTGTGTGTGGTTGTGTGTGTGTGGGGTGTGGAGTGTGTGTGTGAGTGTGTGTGTGTGTGTCTGTGAGTGAGGGTGTGTGTGTGTGTGTGAGTGTGTGTGTGAGTGTGTGTGTGTGTGTGAGTGTCTGTGTGTGGGTGTGTGTGTGTGTGTGTGTGTGTGTGTGTGTGTGTGTGTGTGTGTGTGTGTGTGTGGGTTGAGTGTGTGAGTGTGTGTGTGTGTGTGTGGGTGTGAGTTGTGTGAGTGTGTGTGTGTGAGTGTGTGTGTGTGTGTGTGTGTGTGTGTGTGTGTGGTGTGTGTGTGTGTGTGTGGGTGTGAGTGTTTGTGTGTGTGTGTGTATGTCTGTGGGGGGTGTGAGTGTGAGTGGTGTGTGTGTGTGTGTGGTGGTGTGTGTGTGTGAGTGTGTGAGTGTGTGTGTGTATGTCTGTGAGGTGTGTTTGAGGTGAGTGTGTGTGTGTGTGTGTGTGTGTGTGTGTGTGGTGAGTGTGTGATGTGTGTGTGTATTCTGTGGTGTGTGTGTGGTGTGGGTGTGGTGAGTGTGTGTGTGTGTGTGTGTGTTGGGGGTGAGGTGTGAGTGGGTGTGTGTAGTCGGTGGAGTGTGTGGGGGTGTGAGTGTGTGTGTGTGTGAGTGGTGTGTGTGGTTTTGCTTACAGACAGAACAGGAGTGTGGAGGATGCCATCTCCTTTGCTCTGAACACTGATCTACACTAATTTTGGACACTATTAAATTCTGTCGCGAGAATGCTGTTTCAATTTTGCTTATAGCCTGCTTTTAATTGTCTTGTCCCCAAAATAATTGGTTTGAAAAAACTATGGACCTTTCCCGTAATGTGACACAAATGTAGTGTGCTCATATTTTTTTTGACGAAAATGTCGGAGGAACTTCACAGCACAGTCTGGGCCTTCAAAAACTATATGCTCGCCGTGTAAGGATTTTGTGGCTACGAGGACTGGCACGTGCGTCCCATTAGTCTGGGAGGTCTCAAAATCAAAAAATACCACTTTTTTGCTGTATATTTGTTTTTGAATTTTAAGTTTTTTTGTTCGCATGAAACAAACATGTGGCTCAGAACCATCCTCGTTTGCTTTGGGTTGTTTACAGATTGTGCATAGAGATGCGCGGCAAATGTGCTCTTTAGGATTTTCGATTGAGTTATAGTAGATTTAATTTGCAAACCGGACATTTTTTATTGAGCTGACAATTGCTGACATAGCATCCAGATTTTGGATTGGTTCATGATACCTGGCTGTCAGTCAAAGTCACTGGCAACGCGCTTGTCACTCCAACACTGACACTCCCGCGCGCGGGTTTACGGAGGCGAAGAAGCGAGACAGACGTACAACAAAACAGCAGATATGGCCAAAGAAAATTCGGTTGTTTCTTTACAACTCAATCCTTTTACGAGACGTTCGCTGGAGGAAAAAAAAAGGATTAAGGAGCTTGGACCGGAGAAACCCGTCTTACAGATCCAGCAGCAGGCAAGTGACCGTGGGCGAAGTTACACCCGAGGCTTCTCCGGTCTGTGCTATGCTAAACACAGTTGGCTCACTGGATGCGACGTAAGCAATGCTCTTTTTTGCTTTCCCTGCTTGCTTTTTCAAAGTGTTGGTACGGAAGTGTTGTGGACAACAACAGGCGTCAGAGACCTGAAACATCTCTCTGAAAAATGCAAACGCCATGAAAGTAGCCGTTACCACATTGACAACAGTATGAAGCTACAGTTTTTTGGCCGCGTTAGCATTGCTGAACAATTAGACGAGGGCTACAGAGTTGGCATTAGAAGGCACAACGAAGAGGTGACAAAAATCGTCATGTTCTGTCCAGGATAATCGACTGTGTGAAATTCTGTGGGGCCTTTGAGTTGGCTTTACGTGGCCACGATGAGAGTGAGAGCTCTGTGAACCCTGGGATATTTCGTGGATTGGTCGATTTTGTTGCCTCTCTGGATGGAGCTTTGAAAGAGCACCTTGAGACTGCCACTGTTTTCAAGGGTACTTCCAAAACTGTCCAAAATGAACTCTTGGACTGTATGTTGTCTGTTGCAAGAGAGCAAATAATTGAAGAAGCTCAAAAGAGTGTTTTTGTATCAATCCAGGCAGATGAGACAACAGATATTTCAACACAGTCCCAACTTGTGCTTGTACTACGCTACATTGATGACAAGCACAGTGTGCAGGAAAGATTTTTTGAGTTCATTCCTCTGCAGTCAGCTACATCTGAGTCCATTGCTGCTGCATTATCAGAGCGTCTTGCTGCCATCATTCCTGAGGATCAGAAAAGCAAGCTAATCTGCCAGGCGTATGATGGAGCCAGTGTCATGAGGGGTGCCAATGCAGGTGTTCAGAGGAAGATCAAAGATGTGTACCCAAATGCCCATTATATCCACTGCTATGCACACCAACTCAACCTGATCATGCAACAGGCCACCTCTCACATTTCCAAGGTGAGAATTTTTTTTTCTGACCTGGGTGGATTTGCAAGCTTTTTTTCTAGGTCACCCAAGCGTACGGCTGTCCTTGATAAAATGGTGGCCCGTAGACTGCCAACATCCAGCAATGTCCGATGGAACTTTCACAGCCGAGCCATCAACACTGTGTTTGAGCAGAGAGATGATCTCATTCAATGTTTTGAGAACATACGAGATTCGGGTGACTTTGACTCCAACACCATCAGAGAGGCAGGAGCCATGGCCATGCTGCTGGAACATCAGGACTTTAAGTTCTTCCTGGAACTTTTTCACCACATCATGCCACTTGTGGACCTCCTCTATGCCAAGCTCCAGAAGAAGAACATAGATGCAGTCCACATCAAAAGGAGCATCCAGCAGTTTGAACAGGACATACAAAACATCAGGTAATATGTCAATAATATAATCATCACATTTTTAATTGTTATCTCTTTTCAACTTTTTGATCATTATTATGACTTCTTCTTCACAGAAATTCTCTCCATTCCATGAGTGAGCAAAGCAGTGACTCTCTGACAGCAAAACGGCGTCGGGTACTCAGTTCCGAGGATCGTCAGAGTGCTGCAGAAGAGGTGAGTTTATGTTGTAGAAATCTGTCATAGTTTATGAAATCATGTTTAATGAAAATATTAAAAATCGTATCACAATTGCAGTTGTCAATAATAGCAAGATGTTTTTTCAAAACCATGCAGCAACAGAGGGTAACAATGTCAACTAAAGTAAATTAATTTAATATCTATTTTTTCTCTCTGTTTTTGTATTCTCTCTGTAGATCTGCAACACCATTCTGAGACACACCAGGGAGCGCTTCAACTTCACCGACCATCTTGTCTGTGCCACCTTGTTGCAGGGGGACAGGTTTAAGGAACATCACGGGTCATTTCCCGAAGAGGTGCTGCAAAGCACTTTGAAGGCCTACCCAATGCTGAATGGAAGCAAGCTCAAGACAGAGCTCAGTCTCATCTACAGCAAAGCAGAGTTCAGAGCCTGTTGTGGTGCAGTGGACCTGTTCCAGCTGTTCATGGAGAACAATCCTTCAAGATGTTTTTTCAGAAACGGTCACTCTTTTAAAGATCCTTATTACCACACCTATGACCACAGCTGAAGCAGAGAGGTGCTTCTCAACCTTAAAAAGGGTGAAAACTTTTCTGAGAAACACCATGACCCAGGAAAGGCTGAATGCCCTGGCCATGCTCTCAATGGAAAAGAGACTAATCTGTCAAATGACCAATTTCAATCAGAGAGTCATTGAAAGATTTGCTAGCCTGAAAGAGAGGAGAGCAAAATTTATGTTCAAGTAGTTTGTTGTTGTAAATAGTTTGTTGTTGTAAATAGTTTATTGTTGCTAGTAGATTAATGTTATAAATTGTTTAATGTTATAAATAGTTTATTGTTGCTAGTAGTTTAATGTTATAAATGGTTTATTGTTATAAATAGATTTATTGTTGCTAGTAGTTTAATGTTATAGTTTTATTGTAAATAGTTTATTGTTGCTAGTAGTTTAATGCTATAGTTTATTGTTGTAAATAGTTTATTGTTGTAAATAGTTTATCCATCACTAAATCTGTTAACCTTTCACCTGTCTGCCTCCTTCCATTCCTCCCTGCCTTTGGGTCCACATCGACACACCACCGTGACAGCAAGTAGTTTATTGTTGCCAGTGCGCCCCCCCAAATTTTTTTATCACCAGCCGCCACTGGTTCTGGATTAACTTTTAAGCTAAGACTCATTGCTAGGAGTTTAAGTTTAGTTAAGAGCTCTCTGAGAGGACTCTTAGAATCTTTAGGCCTACGGCCCCTGGTCTTTTCCCTTCAGCAAACCGTGCGGAACAGGTGGAGCACTGGCTTTAGAGGGAGTCCGTGAACTCCAGAAGAGGACCTCATGCAGTGACTCAAGAACACCAATGTCCTGCCATGTAGGGATCAGGTGCCTGTTTTTTTTTGTCTGATGACAACACTTCAGTGATAGCCTTTCGTTGTTCCTAACCCCTAACCCTTCTGTCTTGAGTTGGTGACAATGGGCCTCATGTATGAAACTTGCGTACGGCCAAAGCAGCCTTTCACAGTGCAGAATCACAAAGCGCTTCACATTTTAAAAACAGATCAAAATAATACACACACAAGTCAGATTTTTAAATCATAGAAACAGAAGAGGCGATCTCATCATTATCTGTGATTTATTCAAAGTTTACGTGTTTCCACAGGTTCAACTCCACCCCGAGCGGCCATTTTTGTAGTTACTAAGCACAGATACAATTATCTCATAGAAACTTCTCATTACATCGCAAACATGAAGCAGTCCTTCCTCATTGACTGAAAGCAAATGTTTTATTCTTAGTCCAGTCTTATTATCGACTCTTCTCTTTTTAGCTTTGGGATCCATGCGCACAGTCTATGATGCTCACACGCCGGTTTGTTTACAACAGCGGCCGCCATATCCTACGTTGCAGGATATGGCGCGCTACGTTGACAGAAATGTTTAAATTGAATATTACTTATGCACAATTTTACAGCATTTAAAAACTTTAAGAATGTTTTTCCTTCTACAGAAGGAAAGAGACGCATGCGCCTCCGGAGCCGCAGGTTGCCAACTCCTAGTTTATACAGTATGTGGAAGTAAATACTGTAGAGGATCAGGATATGTGCAGTTTCAACAATAAAATAAAAATGCAATAGTCTACGTTACAAGAGGCTAATGAACATGTCTCAGAGTGAGGGAGGTGGACACAGACAACACTATTGTTTGTTACAGGGATGAGAATTGGTCAAAAAAGACTGAAATGCATATTGTCACCCATTAGCTGGCTCTAAATCTGTTTAATTTGTTCACAACATATTACTTTTGGGCTCAAACCTGAACTTTTAATGCAATTCAAAATGTAGGTATCAGAGCTTTATTTAGGGCGTTTAATCGCGCTTCGAGAGGAGAGGGGAGACGCGGACTGTTTCCTGCAGCAGTGTATTTAATGGGTGCACAGATTACTCAAAGACACGCATGGTCCTGTGCGCGTTTATGGGGTTGGGTACATGGCCACGTTGAGGCTGCGCGCTCAGCCACAATACGGTGGAGCGGCTGCGAGCGGCTGCGAGCGGCTCGCCGCTGGACGCGGAAGCTGCTCATTAAGCGGCCGCACATGCCCCGGAACACTGCGGCTGCTGAGGTGGCGGAATCCCGTTCGAGTACATACAGCAGGTGCCCCGCGGATACGCGCGCCCCGCTCAAAAAATTCTCAACGGATTTACACTTCTCATAAACATTGTGTTTTGTATGAGGCAGACAGACAGGCCCAAATATGGGCATCGGCCCTTTGGGCATTGCCCGGTACGCCCGATGGCCAGTCCAGCCCTGTTCGCTGGCATCCTTGAGCTTGGACTACAAATTCGAAGTGATGCACAGTAGAGGAGGGCTGGGCCAAAGTGTTTTGTTAGACGCCCATGCCCTTATATAGCAGTCTCGCTGCAAATACTGTGACGTAATAATTCTAATCACGTAATAGAGAATGGCAAAATCAGAACGGGTTGAAATATGGTACCTAAACAGAATATGAAGTGTTCTCTGCAACCCATGAAGTTGCACTTCTAGAGGCTCCAACTACACACCATAAGGCATTTAAGGCACAAAAAGTGGATTTTTCATGATATGTCCCCTTTAAATATTGCAGACAGTACGGGCCAGAGAATTGTAGAGCAGTAAAATCCACATGTAAGTGTTTGTCCCCATGGTCTCTGTGACTGCTGTGGCCAGTCTTTCTGCGTGCGCAGTGATGCGGTCGCTGTATCGGACCGTTGTGGAAAAGAGGGAGCTGAGCCGAAAGGCAAAGCTCTCGATTTACCGGTCAATCTTCGTTCCCTCCCCCACCTATGGTCATGAGCTTTGGGTAATGACCGAAAAAACGAGATCGCGGATACAAGCGGTCGAAATGAGCTTCCTCCGCAGAGTGGCTGGGCGCTCCCTTAGAGATAGGGTGAGGAGCTCAGTCACACGGGAGGAGCTCAGAGTAGAGCTGCTGCTTCTCCACGTCGAGAGGAACCAGTTGAGGTGGCTCGGGCATCTGTTTCGGATGCCTCTTGGACGCCTCCCAGGGGAGGTGTTCTGGGCACGTCCCACCGGGAGGAGGCCCCAACACGCTGGAGGGACTATGTCTCTCAGCTGGCCTGGGAACGCCTTGGGGTCCCCCCGGACGAGCTGGAGGAAGTGTGTGGATAGGGAAGTCTGGGTGTCTCTGCTTAGACTGCTGCCCCCGCGACCCGGCAACAGATGAAGCGGAAGAAAATAGATGGATGGATATAATTTCTCTAATAGGTGTCGATTTTTTATTGCATTATTGATCAGAACTATCATCTCAGACGTGGTTCTGTTGATCCCAATATTTAGATAACTTTAAGCAGCAGAGAGATAACTTGTAAAAATAGGTCTACAACAATTCATTTACCTGCGATATATTACGTGCTGCTTCAGCATGTGGCATGCGTCCATCATATCATTACAAATACTTTCTCACCAGTCGCCGGATGCGGCAAAATGGTTTTAAGCACCTCTCGTGGGTTTCCCTTAAACTCACACCTAAGTTCATTACACATACAACCCAAAATCCCTGTGCATGCAGCTCCAAAGCATGACTGAGAAGGATCCTTTGTGTTTTTGGTGACAGAGAATTCATCAGGTAGTATGCAATGGGGACCTTCCAATGTCCTTGTATTCCAATCACCATGAACACAAGAACCTCAGCTCCATTACACATAGTACCACCCCCTCAATCACCCAAGTCTACAAAACCAGAAATGGACTGGGTATGTGGATTATATTGCACGTGTTTTCTGATGGCCATGGCATCCAACAGGAGTGCAACACATCCATATTTAACCTGGTCTTCCTGACATCTCCTCTCCATCAACATTTTATTCAAGCCTGGCTTGCCATTCACCTGTAAAAAAAATAAAAAAATAGAGAAATAGCTATTTAACGTATTTGCATCAGTAATTTCAATCGGGCAAAATTAAGACTTCCTTTGTAATGGGTGTGGATGTTTGTTTTGTTTTACCTGTGTAGGATTCAAGCCTCTTTTTGAGCTCTTCATTAATAAGGTTATTTTCCCTCAAATTTCTTTTTTCTCTGGCCATGGCGTTCTTCTGTCGCTCCAGACTTTCCACCCTTGTTAAAGGCGCTATACCCCTTTCTGCAAGGTTTGAATGTTTAGCACCGCCCCCCAACTCGCTCAATGGCTTCTCTTTTCCCCTACGCTCTCATAACACAGAGCCATCTAGTTCAATTTGCGATCTGACATGTATGCTAAGAATTTCTTGTTATCGTTTTCATGACCAAATTACTATTTCAATGTGACAAAAAGCGATCGCGAATAACCCGGAAGTAACCATTAACCTGTAGTTCCAGGGAGCTAGCTAGCTTAGCTGTTACCTGCCTAGCACATCCCGGTGAAACCTTTGGGAGCTAACTATTTTATTTGCAGTTATTGAATACATTTTGAATTGTAAGGGCTGTCTAATATGTGTTCAAATATATATATTTTTTATTTTAGAATTATATTTGAATTTCGAAGCCAAAGCCCTAGTTTTTAGCAGCACTGTAGAGGCTAGCGGACGCAGGCTGTTCGCTGCTCGTTCTGTGAGTGGAGGAGAACGAGCGGCCCGCTCAGACTCTACTCAGCACTTTTCACTGCTTGTAATTCTTACACATCTGAATCAATGACCTCAAGTTTTCAATTAAATTACGGTTTATAATACAACTTGTATATAAGCATTTTGACGACGGACGACACCACCCTCATTGGACTCATCTCCAACAGCGATGAGTCCGCCTACAGGAGGGAGGTGGACCGGCTGGTGTCCTGGTGCAGTGATAACAACCTGGAGCTGAACGCCCAGAAGACAGTGGAGATGATTGTGGACTTCAGGAAGAGCACTGTCCCCCCGCCCCCACCCTCCGTGATGGACTCCCCCATCACCTCTGTGGAGTCCTTCCGTTTCCTGGGCACCACCATCACCCAGGACCTCAAGTGGGAGCCGACCATCAGCTCCCTCATCAAGAAGGCCCAGCAGAGGATGTACTTCCTGCGGCAGCTCAGGAAAGCCAAGCTGCCTGCACAGA